ATTAAGCTATGTTCGTTTCTACCTGACCCTGTACCTTCATTGCATTTTTGCTAATTCTCCTGTTTGTGCATGACAAATAAGAACTTTAATTGTGTAAGTCTGATTCTATCAAATAAACTGAATTAAACCGGAATATTCGGACGCATTTGATGATGGGAATAAAGCATATTCCTAATTCAGTTTCGTAACATTCTGCCTTATATTTGGGTAATTTTATCTGTGGTTCTGTCAGCATAGGCGGAGATATGTAAAGTATTAGCAGGTTCTTAATTCAGCTGTGCATTTGAACGTTCACGTAGTCCATTACTGTCTCCATTGTCGGTATTTTAGCAATTTACTCAGTGTTGAATTTGTCTGGACGGTGCTCTCGGGGTGCTTTAAAGTGAAATTGTCAATAAAAACATTGTTAACAGAATTTGAAGTAGCGTGCATTGGCAAAGCATCCTTCGCCCGTGAAATTAATTGCCTAAAGTTTTCTTCCATGGCAACGAAGTTCATTACCTTGTTCCATACACAAGAAATCCATCCAGAGAAGTGCATGGCCCGTTCTTTAAGCTTTACGTACTTTCTCTTCAGATCTTACTGGTGACCTCAATGATTTGTCGTTCGTCGCAGTTCATAATGTTCCCAAACATAGGGGCACTACTTCACTTTGACAATTATAAAGAATATGATTATATTCGCTTACTGCTATTGTGGCGGTCCGGGATGTAAGATTAACTGTAATCACACACAATGATTTCGTTCCACCCAACTTCAGAAGTCATGTAGGTGTGAGAGCAGATTTTTTTCTGTACACAGGACAAGTTGCCGTGTGTTGGCTATTTGCTTGTGTCAGAGCAAAGCGTCCGTCCGGGAAAGCGTCAGTTGCGTTGTGTTGCTTACGCTGGAATGCATAATCACACCAGCATGAGCGCATGTCTAGTTGAGTGATGGTCATAGCATTGATTTTTAGGGACAGCGTCGAGGGTGCATGATGGCAGATAACATAGGTAACAAGCCAGGTGTTTCGACGCGCGTGAGGCGGCATAAGTTAATGTGCGCAACCGCGCGCATTGCAACCAAACAAAGGCGTCCTAGCTCGAGCCTGGGAGGGTGGACTCGCGTCCGCGGTCGCCCCGTAAGCTAACGCAGTTGACGTGACTGTCAACTGGCAAGGAGGGCGCTGCAAAAAGGGGGTACTGGGGCCGCTGCTACACCGTCTATAAAAGATAGGAAACTTTAATAACCATGCGGTGCTTCTTTGGGGACTTTAGAAAAACCTACATAAGTTAGGAAATGAAGTCAACAGACTCAGAAAAGGCATGTGACAGGCTTCACAGGAAGCAGTGTTGGAAAAACTTACAATTTGTTTGACGATATTAAGTAGTGTGGGCTGGAAACTAAGACTTCTTCGAACAGTTTGGCGTGAAAAGACGTTTCATGTAAGAGTCGACAATTTTCGTCGTCGATCCGAAGGCTGGACTAAAATACCGAATTAACAGTAGATGTTTTTCATTAGCGAAGTCGATGCCAACCTTGAGAATGTCGGGGAGGTGTTTTTTGGTGAGTATCGCAGATTCCCCAATTATGTAATAACAGAGATTGAAAAATTGCAAACACCATCTGAATGTAGGCGGCTAATGTGACTTTACTACTTCTAAATGAGCACAGGAGAAAACTTAATACCAATGAAGCTAGTGTCATTAAGAAGGAAAAATGAGGGGACCAGGGCAGTTTCGTGTGTGAAACTGTTGGCAAAGCAGAAAATCAGTAATTCTTCTTTCTCAAACATTTTGCCTATAAGCATGATTCGTGTGGAATAATCATCCATTTGGTCAAGCTCTGACAAATTTATGAAAGTATTCAATATTCAGTGTATTTGAGGGAAATATGCTTGCGTCTGTGAGTTCCCTATTTGTCATAAAAATCTAAAAGAATAGCAATAACATGAGGAAGTTACAGCAATAAGTGAATGCAGAAATCGATTCACATAGGACACTGCTTCTTTATGGTTCCGATGTCACATAGTCCGTTTGTTGGTGGGACATATGTCTGTCAAGCCGATATGTAAATGTCGCCACAGACTGAGATATCACAATCGCTACAGGCAGCTTCTTCCACGGTTTCACAACATGGTTGTAGAAAAAAACTACTTCCTCACCTCCAGTCTTTCTTTGGGGAAACGTAGTTTGACAGGGTATCCTTTGAGTTTATTTGCAGTGGCGAGAAAAGAAAAGTCGTCGCAACGCAGAGCGCAGTCCAAGCCACGCACGATATGGAAAGTTTATGTCAAATTGTCCAGCAATTGCCTATAACTCAGAGAATAGACATTGACGTTGTTCAGACGGGTCTCATAAGGCAGTGTACGTTGATATCTTACTAATTTTGTGGCTTGCCTGTGTACCCTTTCGAGTAAATTACAATCCTACTGCGTCCGTGGTGTCCAGGTTTAGGCTGCATATTCAAGCTACGGCCTTACAAAAGAGCCAAAGGCTTTGGAGAAGCATTCTTCATCGAAGACTTGAATGAGCGTCCGATGGCGTACAACATTGGAGTCGCGGCTTTAGTCGCCTTACGACATTGCGCAGAAGGCTTAAGAGTGTCTGCAATCTAGATTTCGAGATCATTCTGAGTTTCTGTTTCTAGAAGTGGCATCCTGTTAAGATAATATTGTCGCGTATTGTGGGTCTGATTCCGATTCCCGAGACCCAGTATGGTGCATTTGTTCAAATTGAAGGACAGGAGCCATTTGCGGGACCACTCATCCAATCGGAAAAGATTTTCTTGGAAGTTGGTTTCATCGGCGGTTTTGTAGCTGACTTACCAGATTTTAATATCGTCTGCAAACATGACATAATTACAGTCCAACTCCTCTACACAACCATTAACAAACGAGAGAAAGAGGGTCCGTCCGCGCACTGAGCCTTTTGGGACTCCACTCTCTACCACTGTGTCCCTTACTTGCTGTGGCTCCATGCAAACAACTTGAGGACGACCGATGAGGAAATTCTCGATGCTCATCACTCTCAACTTATAAAGGAGACGCTGGTGCGGAACACTGCCGAACGTCTTCCAGCATTACATGTAGACTACGTGCACAATGTTTTTGCATTCAGTTCCCTTGTCCAGTTGTGCATTGTGTACAGCAAGTTCGTTCCGGGAGACTGGCCGAACTGACACTCAGGCTGACCCGCTTCACAATGTACTCTGCTCTGATACGACGAAGCAAAAAAGTGCAAGGACGGACATGGACACCAAAGATAGTCTGACACCTGCAGATCGCACGTGAGTCAAGGCGAGATTAAGGACTAGCCTGGATAGGCCGGGTAGATGACATCAACGGCCTGTCCGCTTTTGAAGAGAATCTATACCATGGGCAAACTATAAAATCCCGGGCTTTAAGTGTGAGAGGGGAGACGTAGATTCTGGGGTATGCTCCGCCTCTGATAGCTATCCATTGTCATCGTCTGACTACACCACTGATTGGGAAGATGGAAATCTAGTGTCCGGAATGGGTTGCTACTTGTCGATGCACGATGGTTAAGAAATCAAAGATTACTAAATTTGAAGTCAGACGAATAGAGCGAAAGGGCGGCCCTTTCTGAGGCAAATAACGCTCACGCGGCCGGCAGGTGGTAAGAGTAGACGTCCTCTGCAGCTAAGTAATAGACTTTTAGGTCTTTAACAGAGGCTCGAAGCGCAGTAGTGCACCTACAAATTGCCTGTATGAAGTAAATCATCGAAGGACGTAGTGTTGATTTGCCTCGTGCTCTCGCTACGATAACGCCAGGCCCCATGCAACTGGAGCTATCGATTGACAAAGGACGTTAGGAGTACTGAATAGGGTGCTGGTTTACGGCCGCACTCGTAATAGCGGGAGTGGATCGTCACGCAGCCAGTGAGCCTTACTGCAGTCCGTCACTCGGCCACTCCACACACAAACACGCGCATGCATGACAGATCGACCGTTGCTACCGACGATTTCAACTGTGTGCTCAAACACAGGGTGAAGCAGGCACGATAACTTGTGCACGAATTAGCTTATAGTGATAGTGGACTCGCGCAGCATCTACCTCACCCTCTCCTCCTCCACCCAGACCCGGCGTCAAGACAGAGTCAAGAAGACCGGAGGCGGAGGAGGACGCAGATGGAGGGCACGGCCGAACCCGCGCATTGACGCTCCACTCCACAACTCCTGGTCCACGCAACATATGACCAGGATTTTAATCAACAGCAAAATGGGCCGTTGGTTGCCGCGTCCTCATGTGCTGTCACACCCGGCTCGGATCCTACGGAGTGGGAGTGCCATAAAGGTCACATTAGGAAAAAGCCATTGCTGCTTGACTCCTAGAGCACTAGGCGGCCGCTCCATACAAACACACAAGACTGGGCGACTGTGTAGTCCAAGTTATCCCGTAAGTTGGCGACCTTCCAAGCCACGGCTTTGGAGCGGCAGTGGAGGTCCAGGAGGGCGGTAAGTGTTGATTGTCAGCGTGGGGGGCGAGACAGAAGTAGACAGGGGGGATATCTGGTAATGTTGTCCGGGTGCTATAATTTATACGCAGATGTCCAATGCTCGGAATGTCCGTTGACATCGTGGGCAGGTCTAGGGCGGTTAGTTATTGGTACTACGTGACGGGGACACTTTCGATTTACGAGTTTCGCGTTTGGTTTTGGCGGCGGTGATGTGGTTGGTTTAGTCGATCGTTGCGCCTGTTTTTGCGACTCTCCGTCAGGTAGGTCGGTTCTGGGCGACGTCTTTCAAATCAGCCGGGTCGATTTACAGGCGCCGCAGGGAAGTCTTCATGGCGATCTTGTATGGCGTACTTACCGTCCTTGTCGGCATGATCTCGCGGCGACATCTCTGTAGAAGAGTCATTTGGGTGACCACTCGTCGTCCATGCGCACCAGTTTGCCGCTCCAGAGTACTTACAACCGTCTCAGGATGGCGTAAAGGCTGAGAATTCCCATCCGCTCCAGAACACCCGTGTCCATGATCCGGCCCTGCCCCCTCAGCTTCAATATCCGTCGAAGACAGCCGAGGCGGAAAGGATTGGGTCTCCGCGCCCTCTTCTTCTAGACCGTACAGGTATCCGCTCCATGCAGCAGCGTCGGCAGGATGCCTGCCTTCTACCTCTCCAGCTTGGCATTGAGAGGGAGACCATAACGGTTTCAAACGGGATTTTGCTGACGGCCGAATTTTTGGTTGTTTTGGGAAATCCGGCGGGCCACTTCATCATCAGTCTTATTGGTGCTGGATAGGGTACTGCTCGGGTAGAGGAAGTTTTCCACGACTTGCGATTAAACGCCGTTCGCGTCGATTTGGGTGCGATGTACGCGACGTCGCGCTGAGTTCGATGCATGACCACCGCCTTCTCCCTGTTCATGACTAGGCCGAATTTGTCGCAGGCGGAGACGAAGAGGTCAATGCTCCCTTGCATGTCACCTTCGGGGGTTCTGCTGGGGGCACAGTCGTCGGCGAAGAGAAGTTCATGGGCGAAAGTTGTGGATACACGTGACTGGGAGTGCATCCGCCGACGGTTGTGGAGGTCGCCGTCCGTCCAGTAGGCGATGCGGTTCCTAGGGCGTTCGTCACGGTAAGCGTCCATCAGCATGGCAGTGAACATGGGGCTGAACAGGGTAAGTGCGAGGAGACAGCCCTGTTGTACTCCGTTGGCCACTACGAGTGCCTCTGAAACAACTCCACTGTCCGTGACGCGCGCCATCATATCATCGTGGGGTTAACGCACCACCTGAGTGAATCGTTCGGGACAGCCGAGTTTCTGCATGATTTTCCACAGTCCTTCGCGATTCCTAATGTCGAAAGCTTTCGTCAGATTCACGAGGGTAGAGTACAGGTGTATCTGCGTCTCCTGACACTTTTCCTGCAGTTGGGGGGCGGCGAAGATCAAGTTGTTTCCGCAATGACGGCGGAGGCCGCGCTGGCCTACCGGCAGGATCTCTATTCCAGATGGGTGTTCCGACGGTTGAGAAGAATGCGAGCGAAGACTTTTCCAGCGATGGTTGGTAGGCAAATGTCTCGGTGGTTGTCGCAGAGCTGGCGGTTCCCCTTCTGCTTGTAAAGGTGGGCGATTTTGACGTCCTTGAAGTCCTGGGGGACTTCTCCTTGACGCCACATCTCCTGCAAGAGCGCCGCCAGATAGTCCATGAGATGGAGGCCACTATGCGTGTAGATCTCGACAAGGATGCGTCCAATCTGGGTGCTTTCCTACTGGAGAGCTGTTGCACGGTCTGGATTGTTTCGTGGAGTGAATGCGAAAGGTCAAGGTCGGCTCTGGTCTCCACTTGATGCAGACGGTGGTGTCGGTGTCGGAAATGGTGGAGGAACGGTTGAGGACGCCTCTAAATTGTCCGGCCCTTCCTTTAGGAATTTGTGTCTTTTCAGTGAGTAGGGTGGTTCCGTCGGCGCTGAGAAGAGAAGAAGTTCCTTTGACTGGGGAACCGTAGACAGCCTTGATCGAGGCAAAAAGGCTCTTCCATTCATTAAGGTTCGCGTACCCTTGGACGTCCCCGGCCGTACGAGCCGTCCAAGAGTTCTGCATCTCCGCAGCAGTTGTTGCAAGAGGCAGAGACTACGGTAGAAGGCTGTTTCGTTGTCGTCGGTAGGGCGGCCGACGTAGGCCTTGTTCATGCAGTTTTCCTCGGCAAGCAGGTTGCTGATTGCGGTGTTGTTGTCGTCGAACCAGTCCTGGTATTAGCGCCGTGGGCGACCAAGGACAGCCAGAGCCGTCGACTGAATTGTGTCCCGCAGTCGACACCATCGGTCCTCCACGGCGGAGTTGACGCCAGTGGCGGCGGCAGCAACTGAAAGGTTGTCTAACCGTTGAACTAGTTCATTGCTGAAATTGAGGTGGTGAGAAGACAAAGACAACAAATCAATATCCAACCTACCCGTGATCGCTTACCATGAGTACTCCTGTGAGACTGCAGGCAAATCCTCATAGTGGAGATGTTGAGGCGATGATCGGTCTGCCCGTCGGCTCCCGGGATCGCCCTTGTCACAAGCACGTTCCGCTGGCCTCGCGTTCGGACGAAAACATGGTCCAGCGGATGCCACTGGCACGATCGAGGATGCATCCAGGTGGCCTTCTCTCGCATTGGGAGGCGGAAGAAGGTGTCCGTCAGGATGAGACGGCGTTCGCCGCAGGTTTGTAGGGGGCAGGCCGTTGTCATTGGAGCCGTTGAAACCTTGGGAGAACAGCACTCCACTTCATGCAAATTGGTCTGTGCCGACTCGGACGTTCATGTCACCAAGGACAATTAACTTATCCGTCCTTGTAGAATTTGTTCTTTGCCGCGACAGGATTGGTCATCCTGAGACAAAGACTCTGACGATGGTGACGAATTTGCCTTTCGAAGAGGCAGACGGAGGATCATCAGGTGATTGTTGATGTCTTGCGGTAGTTGTCTCACGATGTCATCTCGGATTTCAAGAGCGACGCCAGTGTCCCCTAGCTCTGTCTCGGGGAGACCGCTTAAGAATAAAATGTAACTGACACCCACCTCCTCCAGTTGGCTTTGTTCGGAGAACCGGGTCTCGCCGAGTGCGACGATGCGTCAGTTCCCGAGCGACCAACGCCATCCCCGTTCCGGTCGGTTATTCCTCGGAGTGTCTAAAAGGGAACGAACGTCCAAGGCTGCCAGAGTGAGTAAACTCGCCCTATCGGCCTTTGGGTTGGGGAGACGGGGGTATGGCCGTTTTGACCGTATATAAGGCGTCTGCGAGCCACGGTCAGTGCGCAGAAGACGGAATTTCAGCATTTGTGCGGGGCACCCTTTTAGCCCTGTCCCCCTCGTGGGGGTAAGCAGCGCTGTCCCCAAATAAGGCTGCTGAGTTGTCCCAGACGGCTGCCAAATGCCACTATGGGCCACGAATTTCTTTAGTGGGAGAGCGACCCCAGTCAGCCTGGGCCGCCTACGTGACGGCTGTCGCTCACGCCGTAGGATTTCTGAGTATGGAGGAGGGGAACGAGGAAAGGGTGGACAGACGGGAAGCAGAGCTTCCCATCCCCTTCGAAACTAACCGGTTGCTGAAAAATAAACGGCTAGCAGAAAGACTCAACAGAATGGCATTTCGCTTGCAGCAAGGGCAAACATAAACATGCAGACAAAGGCGAGCAAACAAGAACAAGCAAAAAGCCAAGTCAACAGGGTGATATTCGGCTTAGCCGGGGGTCCACGTCCCTTGTGGTCTCCTGTAGGGTTTCAGACGAAGCTTTATCTCGGAGGTGGCGATGAGATTATCAGTGGGACATTCGACCATGGGGTAGGAGAGTAGAGAAGGAGATGAAGACAGGGGACAGGGGAGAAGGGCGGAGAATAGGTGCGGTCTTCCAGCGACTGGGTCAGCAGCTTGCTGAGTGCTTGTGGCCTCTCGCGGGGTTGCAGATGGAGCCTCATATCGGAGATTCCGAGGCGGTGATCCCTCTGGTAATTGCTGGTGGGACTGGAGCCTAGCTATCATGTGTGGAGATGCACACACGGATAGCTTTGCCTGGATTAGCCTGCTGATCGAGCCGGTTACCGGGGTGGGGCAGCTAGGCGGAGCCTAGCTTTGGGGAGCATCATGAGAGAGTTGTATGCCGGTTAGTGGACACGAGGCGTAGTCTACACGCGCAAGCAAGCGTGCGGTTTACTACGGCCATCACGTGGATCCACAGTTGGACACCCATACACCCCAAACACACAAAAGCTCAACTGTCGCCGTTGACGATGTCCACCATGTGCTCCATAGCAAGATGGCGCAGGCACGGTGACTTGGGCGTAGTTAAGTTTATGGCGAATGTGGACTTGCGCCGCATGTACCACACTCTCCCATCCTGCCCCACCTGGACCCGGTGTCAAGACAGAGTCAAGAAGACTGGGGGCGGGGAGGACGCAGGTGGATGGCAGGGTCGAGCCCGCACCATGGAGCTCCAATTACACCCCCCACTCCACACAGCAAAGGACCAGGATTTTGACCAACAATAACAATAGGGGTCGGCAGGGGTCCCGATGAGCGCCACCGCACACCGATATGTTGTCATTTGTTATGGTACGCATTCTGATAACGCCTGACAGAATCCGATGTGACCCCCGTCTTTGTCCAGCACGTCTAAAACGTGGCNAGTTCGACCGTCGACTTCGACGATGTCCACCGTGTGCCCCACAGCTGCAGCAGCGGCGAGAGCAGGGACGGTGACTTGCGCAGGGGTTTATAGTGCGGGTAGACTTGCGCTGCATCTGCCTCCACTCTCTCCTCCTCCCCCGCCTGGGCCCGGTGTCAAGACAGAGTCAAGAAGACCGGAGACGAGGAAGGCCGCAGGTGGACGGCTCGGACGGATCCTCACCTTGACGTTCCACCACACTCCCTGGTCCACACAACAATAACCAGGATTTCAACCGACACAACAGAGATTTGGAGGCTGGCACGGCCGAAGCCGCACCTGGGCGTACCGCCAACGCCTGGCTCGGATCCCACACTGTGGTGGAAATGCCATAAAGGCCACATTAAAAAGGAGCCATTGCAGCCTGACTCTCAGACCGCCTCCCGTTAAGGAGGAGGTCCAAGGTACCCCGTCAGTTGGCAACCTTCCAAACCACGGCTTTTAGCGCACCGTGATAGCTTCAAGCGCGTCAGATTGTTTATAGTGAGGAGAAAGTGCGCTGAGTCGTCGACCTTACTCTCCCTTCCCATTCCCACACCCCAGCCGCTGTCCGAGCCGGTCAGCAGACTGGAGTGGGGAATGGGCGCGGTGGCTGACATGGTCGACTGACCATGCCTGCGCGCGCCACAGCCCGACCTGGCCCCCCATACACACACAAACACCAGGATTTCACACAACGGGGGTTCAACGGCGTGTCTCCCACTTGCGTGAGAGGGCCGTGGAAGGTGCTGCTTCAGTCCGTCCCCAGCCCACCAGTCCGCCACTACACACAACACACACACACACAACGTGACGAACTGCGTGAACCGAGAGCGGGCCTCAATCAGCAACCTTCCTATCCACGACGCTTGACGTGTCGGGATAGTCTCGGACACAAGTCACCCGTGCAGCCGAAGCCGCATGGGGACCGAGTCGAGATGCACACTTCCCACTTGCGTGGGAGGCGGCAGTTGAGTGCATGAGGTGGGTGAGGGTTGATGTCTGGTGGGGTGATGGTGGTGGTGGAGAAGGTAGGGAGTGAGTGAATCTGTGGTGTGACCGGCGGTTGTCTACCGCAGGTCGTCGTGGATGCGCATGTGGCCGAATAGACCCATGCGATGCGTGAAGGTGCGAGGGCAGTGTGGGCAGTGGAGGCGAGTGCGGTGGGTGTAGGTTGGTGCTCCAGGCACTGGTTCGCCAGTCTCTGTGCGATGGATTCGCAAGTGACCGACCAGGCCGATGTGTGAGGTGAAGGTGCGTGGACAATGTGGGCATGAGAGGTTGGCGGTGTCGGTGTCAGCTGTAGAGGAAGCAGTGATGATGGTGGTGGTGGCGGTGGTCGGCGCGTGTGACGGAGGAGCGAGGATGGGTCTGGGCGTGGTGGATGTGTTGGATGTCGTGGCTGTATCGGAATTGTGGTCAATTCCGCTCTCGTGGATGCGCACGTGGCCGAATAGACCCATGCGATGAGTGAAGGTGCGAGGGCATTGTGGGCAGTGGAGGCGAGTGCGGTGAGTGTAGGTTGGTGCTCCAGACACTGGTTCGCCAGTCTCTGTACGATGGATTCGCAAGTGACCGACCAGGCCGATGCGTGAAGGGAAGGTGCGATCGCAGTGAGGGCAGATGTAGTCCTGATCCTCATCACTGGAATCGGGAGGGGTGGGGGTGGTTGTGGTTGTTGTGTCGTGGTTAACGATGTGTGAGACGGCAGCCTGAACGGCCTCCGCTGGGGCAGTGGAGGAGAAGGAGGAGGATGGGAGTGGTGGTGCAGAAGGAGTGTCAGAGTTAGTTGGCGGCAGAGAGGGCGAGGAAGAGGCGGGCGGGGGGACGATGGCTGGAGCAGTTCGAGAGGTGCAGTTGGTTCGAAGATGTCCGACAAGTCCGATTCGTGCCCGGAATGTCCGTTGACATCGAGGACACGTAGGGAGCGGTTGTGCGGCGGCGTTGCGTATTGGGCGAAGTTGTGATTTGCGGGCTTCGCGTTTCGCTTTGGCGGCGGCGATGCGGTTGGCTTCATAGATAGCAGCGCCCGTCTTCACTGTTCTCCTCTATGTCGGACGATCGCGGGCGAGCTCTTCCCAGTTGGTCGGGTTGATTTGCAGGCGCTTCAGGGAGGTCTTCAGAGTATCCTTGTAACGGCGAATTCGGCCTCCTTGACGACGAGAACCCGTCGCGACGTCTCCGTAGAAGAGTCGTTTGGGTAGTCGCTCGTCGTCCATGCGCACCAGGTGGCCGCTCCAGCGCAGCTGAATTTGTCTCAACATGGAGTAGGTGCTCAGAATTCCCGTCCGTTCCAGCACTTCGGTGTCGGGGATGCGGTCCTGCCAGTTCAGCCTCAGGATGCGGCGGAGACAGCTGAGGTGGAAGTGGTTTAGTCGACGTGCCTGCCCCGTGTACACCGTCCAGGTCTCCGCTCCGTACAGTAGCGTCGGCAGGATGACGGCCTTGTACATCTTCAGCTTTGTGCTCAGTTGGAGACCATGACGATTCCAAACTGTGCTTTGGAGACGTCCAAAGGCTTGACTGGCTTTCGAGATCCTGTTGGCGACTTCGCCGTCGATCTTGGTGTTGCGGGAGAGCGTGCTGCCCAGGTACGAGAAGTTCTCTACCACTTGCAGTTGAGTCCCATTCACGTTGATTTGCGGCGCGTTGGGGGCTGTGGCTGAGTTAGGAGGCGGCTGATGCATCACCACCGTTTTCTGCGTGTTAATGACCAGCCCAAAGTTCTCGCAGGCGGCGGAGAATAGGTCCACGCTCCGTTGCATCTCCTCTTCCGAGGTGGTGTTCAGGGCGCAGTCGTCGGCGAAGAGGAGTTCGTGCACGGTGGCTGTGGATACACGCGATTGGAAGTTCATGCGCCGGTGATTCAGGAGATGACCGTCCGTTCTGTAGGCGATGCGTATTCCAGGGCGTTCGTCGCGGTAGGCGTCCATCAGCATGGAAGAGAACATGAGACTGAAGAGGGTAGGCGCCAGCACACAGCCCTGTTTCACTCTGTTGGTCACTGCGAATGCTTCTGAGACAACTCCGTTGTCCGTGACTCGCGCCATCATACCGTCGTGCAGCTGACGCACCATCTGAGTGAATCGCTCCGGACAGCCGAATTTCTGCATGATCTTCCACAGTCCTTCACGATTCACCGTGTCGAAGGCTTTCGTCAGGTCCACGAAGGTAGAGTACAGGTGGGTCCGCATCTCCTGGCACTTCTCCTGAAGTTGGCGGGCTGCGAAGATCATATCCGTGGTCCCACGATGACGACGGAAGCCGCATTGGCTTTCCGGCAGAAGGCCCTGTTCCAGATGGTTGTTGAGGCGGTTGAGCAGGATGCGAGCGAAGATCTTCCCGCCGATGTTCAGCAGGGAGATGCCGCGGTGATTGTCGCAGACTTGGCGATTCCCTTTGCGCTTGTAGAGATGCACGATGGTTGCGTCTTTGAAATCTTGCGGGACTTCACCTTGACGCCACATCTCTTGGAAGAGCGCAGTCAGGTGATCCATCAGTAGGGGACCTCCGTGATTGTAGACCTCAGCAGGGATTGCGTCCGATCCGGGTGCTTTCCCGCTAGAGAGCTGCTGCACGGCCCTGATGGTTTCCTGGAGAGATGGCGGGAGGTCGAGGTCCGCGTTGGTTGTCACTTGCGGCAAGCGGGCGATGGCGGCGTCGGAGATGAAGGAAGGGTGGTTGAGGACGCCTCGAAAATGCTCGGCCCATCGCTGTAGGATTCGCGTCTTCTCAGTCAGGAGAGTGCTGCCGTCGGCGCTGAGGAGAGGAGCAGTGCCCTTCGTCGGCGGACCGTAGACAGCTTTGATCGCAGAGAAGAAGTTCTTCCATTCGTTGCGGTCCGCGTACCCTTGGATCTCCTCAGCTTTGCGAGCAGTCCAGGCGTCCTGCATCTCGCGCAGTCGTTGCTGAAGTTGGTGGCGACTGCGGTAGAAGGCAGCTTTGGTGGCATCAGTGGGGTGATCTACGTAGGCTTTGTGTAGGCGGTTCTTCTCAGCAAGCAGATTGCTGATGGCGGCGTCGTTGTCGTCGAACCAGTCCTGGTGTTGGCGGGGAGCGCGACCGAGGACGGCGAGCACCGCCGACTGCACCGTGTCTCGCAGTTGACACCAGCGGTTCTCCACGGAGGCGTTCTCGGCAGCGGCGGCGGCGTCCTTGGCGGCGGCAGCGATAGGAAGGTTGTCTAGCCGTTGAGCTAGCTCATTGCTGAAATGGAGACGGTGAGCAGGCAAAGACAACAAAGCAACATTCAGCTTACCTGGGGGTCGCTTACCTTGTGGTCTCCTGCGAGGCTGTAGGCGAATACGCATCTTCGAAATGACGAGGCGATGGTCGGTCCACCCGTCAGCACCCGCGATCGCCTTCGTCATCAGCACGTCCCGCTGATCTCGCCTCCGAACGAGGACATAGTCCAGCAGGTGCCACTGACGCGACCGAGGATGCCTCCAGGTGGCCTTCTCTCGCTCCGGCAGACAGACAGACACACACACACACACACACACACACACACACACACACACACACACACACGATAGTTCGACCACCGATTTCGATAATGTCCATCGTGTGCCCCACAGCTGCAGCAGCGGTGGGAGCAGGGACGGTGACTTGCGCAGGGGTTTATAATGCCAGTAGACTTGCGCTGCATCTACCTACACTCTCTCCTCCTCCTCCGCCTGAGTCCGGTGTCAAGGCAGAGTCAAGAAGACCGGAGTCGAGGGAGGCCGCAAGTGGATGGCTCGGACGGATCCTCACCTTGGCGCTCCACTCCGCACCCCCTGGTCCACACAACAATTTCCAATATTTTCAAAAACACAACAGAGATTGGAGGCTGGTACGGCCGAAACAGCCGAAACTAGGCATGCCGCCAACGCCTGGCTCGGATCCCACACTGTGGTGTAAGTTCCATAAAGGCCACATTAAGAAGGAGCCATTGCAGTATGACTCTCAGACCACCAACAGTCAAGGCGGAGGTCCAAGGTACCCCGTCAGTCGGCAACCTTCCAAGCCACGGCTTTTAGCGCACCGTGATAGCTTCACGCGCGTCGGATTGTTTATAGTGAGGAGAAAGTGCGCTGAGTCGTCGACCTCACTCTCCTTTCCCACGCCCACACTCCATCAGCTTTCCGAGCCAGTCAGCAGACTGCAGTGAAGAATGGGCGCGGTGGTTGACACGGTCGACTCACCATGCCTGCGTGCGCCACGGCACGACCTCTCCCCCCAGACACACACACCAGGATTTCACACAACGGGGGTTGAGCGGCGTGTCTCTCACTTGCGTGAGAGGGCCGTGGAAGGTGCTGTTTCATCCCGTCCCCAGCCTACCAGTCCGCCACTCCACACAACACACACACACACACAACGCGACGAACTGCGTGGACCGAGTGGGGACGTCAATCAGCAACCTTCCTATCCACTACGCTTGACGTGTCGAGATAGTCTCAGACTCAAGTCACCCGTGCAGCCGAAGCCGCATGGGGACCGAGTCGAGATGTACACTTCCCACTTGTATGGGTGGTGGCAGTTGGGCACTTGCGGTGGGTGAGTGTTGATGTCTGGTGGGGTGGTGGGTGGAGGAGGAGGAGGAGGCAGGGCGGGAGGGTGTTGTGGTGTGGTGTAGCCGGCAGTTGTCTACCGCAGGTCGTCGTGAATGCGCATGTGGCCGACAAAGTCCTGGTCATCGTGCCAGCGGACAAAGGACGCGCCACAGTTGTACTGGACAGGACAGACTACCTTCAAAATCCAAAGGTTTACTGGAGGACCGACAGTTCTATGTCCCATGTGCAACGAACCCTTTAAAGGCGCTGACACGCGAAATTAATGCTACGTTGTTGGCCTTGGAGATCTCAGGTGCAATAACACCGACCGACAGACGCATGGCGAGACCCCAAGATACGGTTTTGGCCCGATTCTATGGCCTCCCTAAGGTGCACAAAGACTGCGCTCCTCTCCGACCCATCGTGTCGCTCAAAGGGACTCCAACGTACGGACTGGCGAAGTGGCTGTTCCGGCGTCTCAAGTTCCTGACCGCTGAGTCAGACACCACGGTCTCTTCGTCAGCACAATTCCTGGAGAAACTCAAAGGGGTAAGCATCCATCCAAATGAGGTCATGGTATCTTTTGATGTTACATCCCTTTTTACTTCTATTCCCCAGGACCTGGCGATCGAGACAATTGAACTGCTACTACAAAGCAAATACGATGAAACGGAGAACCGTCTTGGACACGCCTAAATCCTTCAGCTCCTGAAGCTCTGTCTCAGGACGTACTTCACGTTCGACGGGACAATCTACGAACAGGTGAAGGGCACACCAATGGGTTCGCCGATTTCGGGATTCATCGCCGAGGCGGTCCTGCAACGGTTAGAGTCGCTGGTCTTCCAACACCACAGACCGAAATTCTGGGCCCGGTATGTGGATGATACCTTCGTCGTCAACGAACGGAATCAGGTGTTGACATTCCAAGAACATCTCAACGCCGTCTTCCCGGACATTCAATTTACGATGGAGGAGGAAGAGAACAACCAGCTGGCCTTCCTGGATCTCCTCGTATGCCGCAAGGATTGTGGTGGACTAAAGACCAAAGTGTTCAGGAAAGCGACAAATACGATGCAAGTACTGAACTTCAACAGTAACCACCCAATCAGCCACAAACGCAGTTGTGTAAGGACGCTCTATCGGCGTGTCGAAACGCACTGCAGTGAACCGGAAGACAAAATTGCTGAACTACAATACCTCCGACGGGTCTTCAAAGCCAATGGCTACCCGCGCAACTTCGTCGACCGGTGCATACGCAAAAGGGACGAAAGGCCTAACCGCACGGACACCAAGTCTTGGCGGGCACTTCCGTATGTCAAGAACGTTTCGGAAGCTGTCGGCCGCCTTCTCGCACCACTTGGGGTTGGAGCGGCACACAGACCAGAGGCAACCATCAGGCGTCTGATCATGAAACCGAAAGACCCACTGCCACGGCTAAAAACGTCTGGAGTCGTTGATCGGATCTGGTGCAGTTGCGGACAAAGCAACTACGTCGGAGAAACCGGAAGACAGCTCCGAACGAGAATGGCCGAACACGCGGCAGCGGTGCGCAGAAATGACGCCAGCTCTCAAGTTGCGGCTCATTCGAAGAGACCCGGCCACACATTTAAATTCGATGAGGCCGAAATTCTCGCAAGAGTTGACAACCGAGTGAGCCGGGAGCTATTGGAATCATGGTTTACTGGCCCCCAGTCCATCAACATGTGCAATGATCTTCCCATTCATTACAGCGTGCTGAGACTTCCTCTAGGCGGAGTAATTGGCCACGCGGGGAGCGCACTGGTAAACACTCTTCCCAACACCCGGGTCAACGCATCAGATGGTCGAGCAATCATCACGCCAACATCCAACGCACGTGATGAAATTGCGGCAATTATCGACTCGAATGTCGGCCATCAAGCAATGATCACCCCAAGTGTGACAATCCCGGATGAAGGGGGAAGCCGTGAACGTTCATAGGCAGGCGGTAGCATGGCTGCTGCATCCTATAAATACCGCAGCCCCTTGTGCAACAACCACCCGTTTCTGCTCTTTTGTCTCTGATGATGGATTCGAGTAGGAATCCGAAACGTCAGGCTAATAAAGCTCTTGTCCCGGCGATCGTGTCTCCTTCTTCAAGGCCCATGCAATGCCTGAAAGTGCGAGGGCAGTGTGGGCAGTTGAGACGAGCGTGGTGTGTATAGGTTGGTGTTCCAGGCACTGGTTCGCCAGTCTCTGTGCGATGGATTCGCAAGTGACCGACCAGGCCGATGCGTGAGGTGAATGTGCGTGGACAGTGTGGGCATGAGAAATCGGCGGTGTCGGTGTTAGCTACAGAGGAGGCGGTGGTGATTGTGGTGATGGGCGCTCAGGGCGAGGGAGTCAGGGTGGGGGTGGGCATGGTGGATGTGGTGGGTGTGTTGGAATTGCGGTCAATTCCGCTCTCGTGGATGCGCATGTGACCGAATATGTCCATGCGTGCACACGCACACACACGGTCGTCGTTGTCGACGATGCCCACAGTGTGCTCCATAGGAGATTGAGCACAGGCACGCTTATGCGTGCGTGTGTATTAGTTATTAATGGCGACAAACTTCCACAGCATCTCCTGCACTCCTTCCCGCCCACGTGGGTGACTGCGAGGTCAGAACCGTGCCGTTAGTTGACGACTTTCATAAAACATCAGAATTACTATAGTAAGGAGGGCGATCAGTCGCCCTCCCACTTCGCTCTCCCGCACACCAGTCGACCGTCCGAGCTAGTCAGCCATCGACGCCATAGTTGGATGCAACCGCTGACAGAAATGCAGGAGCATGTCTGTCTGTGACACACACGACCTGGTTTAGAATCAGCTTGCGCCAATTGACGCGCTTTCCACTTAAGCAAGGGGTGTATATTCCATGCCTGTGGAGTTTAGCCACCGGATGTTTATGAAGACGCATATATGCGTCGGCAGTAGGGGCAGCCGACTTGAGGACAATGTGAGTATGTTGATGCTCACTGGACAGCCTGGCTGTTCCACAGCTATGGATTCGCAAGTGAGTGACCAGTCCGATTTGTTATCTAAAGACACCATCGTAAAGAAAGCAGGTCAGGATCGCGTCCGCATTGTCGACGAAAGGAGCGGTTGCGGTATCGATGCTGGTGTTAGGGGGTGGCCATAGTCGTCCACGCGGATTTGTGATATTGGTGGTGGACGATGAAACGTAGGGAAGTTGCTCGTCGGTAGTGATGGGGGTGGTAGACGTACACGCCATGCGTGCTGCAGCCGTGATCGGTGGAGGCGGAGGAGGCTTCAGGAGTTAAGACAATCGGTAGTTCAATTCCACAATAAGGGGAAGTTGAAATTAGTCAAACGAACTGTCTTGTTAGAACGAGTCTAGTTGTGAACGCTGTCCACTGAAGAACAAAGGCAATGGGTGAAAAGTTAGATAATGATACCGAATTCCACTCCAGTTGGAATGAACCGCGTGATAGTTAACAGAGATGGAAATACCCTTTATTTCGGAAGTATCATTTTCAGCAACACTGGTCTTATTCACTTTGATTGAAATACAAATTTACAAATGATGCAAGAGTAATAATGTTTACATAAGATTGCGTATCTATTGCGGGGGTAGTTCGAGTCTCCGTTTCTATTTTTCTCTTCTTATACACGTAGGGTATCTTACCAGATCTGACCTGACAGAATGCTGTTATGTCGATGTGCGGCAAGAGATACGTCGGAGGCCACGGCACATGCAGCCGAGAACTTACCAGCAATTAGTTTAGGATGAGGGGGATGGGCATAATCATCCGGAATTCGGTCAACAAAATGCTTGACCGTTTCGAAGTGTCCTGGTACTATAATGTCGACGAAAATAACAAAAGAAGCGCAAGCAACAGAAGAGGACATTTGGAGGACTTACTTTGAAATAAATATAGGTTTTTTAATTAGATGAGGAAAATAACCGGAGAACAGTAACGAATGAGAGGAAGGACGCAGACATCCATAAATCTTCGGACAGAGGGTTTATGTATGCGATGGAAATGTAAACGACGAACGTAGTAAACGAGTTTACGGATTTGGCGATCTCAGGTCATTAGTATGAAGGGGGAAGGGGCCAGAGGATAGAATGTCAGTTTAAAGGACTCCAAATTTATTAGGAAGAACAGTATAGTATAAAAAGAAAAATAAGCTCTCAACTAATAAGCATCGCAATCAGGAGAGCCTCACGCGGACGTCTTCGTCAAACTTAGATAACAGCGGACAGTGTTAAGAGCAGAGGAATAGTCAAGAAATGCACTTGCGTGTGTAGGGGAACGCTTATCTAGTTCTTTAAGAGCAGAGCAGACTACAGGATCTACAGCATCCAGGGTATAACGCCTGGTCTTATATGCGAGTTTTAAAGTGTCGGAGGATTATGAGGAGAATGGCATAATTGGATTTAAAGCATTTCGCTTAGCGAGCTTCCGGTGTCCAAAAGACCAAGCAACTGCACAGATGCGCTTAGGTCGAGTATTAGTAGATTTATCAGGGAGATGAATGATTCTTACTGTCCGCCAATCGTCAGTTATCCAAGAATGCATAAACGACATTTTAATAAGGCGTTTCAAATTAAATTTTCATTAGCACCCCTGAATGCTAGTAATGCCGGTTCGTTTCGTGAACTCTGCGTCTGAGATTCTGTTAAACACCTTCGACATCAGTGTTTTTCAGGGCCGGTTCAGATGGGGTCGGTTGAACATCACGCCTGATTCTCATACAATGTGCAGGTTTCTGACACGTACAATAGGGTTGTAAGGATGTCGCCTCGGCACATTTTCATTTTCATATTGATTTGAAGTCCGAGGCAATTCTTAACTGAATACTGTTGTCGGTCAAAGAGCTGACTTGCTTTAGAGATCGGACCTGTGCATTTTCTGAATAACTACTACTCCACACTATTTTCAGTTACTTTTTTCATACAGACACCAGACTAAAAATGATGCATCATACTTTAGTGCGATGGTGCGAACATGCAACCTAGCCAAACAAACGTCATCCGCCTGCGTTCATAAATATGCTACCGCTGAACTCCAATGTGTGATGCATCCCATATAGATGGGTTAATGTTGCGTTTTTTTCTAGTTC